TGTGTGGTCTGCCCCCCTCCCCCCCCCCCCCCTGATTTCAGTGAGAATTGTACCTTTCCTAAGGTAAAACTCAAGCCCTGAATTTTCCTCTTCGCTGTTACTGGTTTTGTGTCTTCTTTTCTAGTTTCTCATCACTACAGGGGAAAACCTGGATTACCTTGATGGTGTGCATACAGTATTTGGAGAAGTGACAGAAGGCATGGATGTATTGAAGACCATTAATGAAACCTTTGTAGATAAGGATTTTATTCCGTATCAAGATATCAGGTGTGACTGCTTTTAACTTCCCTTTTTGAGGAATACATTATAATGAAACAAATTCATCTTTTTTTTGAAACTAGATTAATATAGTGATGTCAGGTGACCTGTACATGGTGTCTTAAATACTCTTTTATTCCAATATTATTGGTAAAATAAACAGGTACTAAAATAAACCACTATATAAGAAAATGTGCAACTATGTTGCCTTTCCAAAAGCATCAGTACTAGTATTTACAAGCATACGGTATGTTTGGCTGTTTGGGATATAACTGAGAATCAGTGGGGCTGGTTTCCTGTTACTTGGGTAAAGAGAGTTTTATTTGCATGTGACTGATACTGGTCTTAATTTTGTTTTCTATAAGGATAAATCATACAGTAATTCTAGATGATCCATTTGAAGATCCACCTGGCTTGTCTATTCCTGATCGCTCACCAGAACCTACTAAGGAACAACTAGATGTGAGTGTTTATGATTAGCTTCTCGGGGAAAAGTTGGAAGAAATAATTAAATAAACTTACCCCTATTAGTGGCCAGCACAGACTTGGTCAAAATAAGAATTCTGTCTTTAAGACTTTGTCTGTCAAATCTATATCCTAAAAGAACTACACATTTTTAGCATAGGAGGATAAGAGATGCTCTTCTACTATGCCAGCTTGAGTTCTGATATGTCAAATGCTTGTCTGTTATTTGGGGCTATTGCTGTGTTTAATCAAATACGGCTGGGTAATCTTTCAAGAAAAGGATAAAAGGGTGACTTGTGTGCTCTCCCTTGCGACTATGGTGGAGTTGGTTGGAAAGCCATATTTTAGATTTCTAATTACAGTGCAGTTAAGCAGAAAATTCAGAATATTCACCTTTGGCATTACTGGGTTTTTGTATGCTCTGGTAGAAGACAAAATATGACTAACATTTATTAATATTAAAGTGCTTACTGCTGTTTTCCTTTTAAATGTGAAATAGGCTGCGTTTCTGCAAGCATACTTACTGTTGTGGTGTATTTGATCAAACAGAAGGAATTTGCTAAAAATATAATAGTAATTATTCATAACTTACTCATAGCATGCAGTTACGGAAGTTGCTATGTGAGATTATCTCCTTGTATGGAAACAGTTGTTTCAAGCAATGAATAAATTGACTAGAGAGCATATTATTTATTTTTAAGCTTAATAGATATAATTACAAGACTGGAATTAGGCTTTCATAGTATGTCTGCACTGTGTTAATCTCTGTTATACTTTCAGATATTTTAAATGGTACAAGGAGTTTAATAGCTCACTGCCAACTGTGTAGTTTTCTTCCCTCATAGCCTGTCTGAAGATACACCTTTTGGTGTAGAAAAGTCTGTAAGAAGGGCAGCATTCTAGAGAGGCTGATGAGGAGAAAAAATTAAACCTCAAATCCTGCCTAGGTGTAAATGTGTAAAAACAAAATTCTTGTTGTCATATACTATATTTAATGTTTCAGTCTTATTTAGGCATCACAGATATTTGCAGTGTCCCTTGTCTTCATTTCTGGTAGGAGCTATCTAGATTAGAAATGAGTTCACACTTGTGGTGAGATCTTGAGTATGAGATGGGAGTATTAAAGAATTTAGAATGTCTAACTGAATATGGTTCACATTGGGCCTGAAAGTTCATACATAATTCATAGTGTCTGAAACACATGAGGATAATCTCTTCTCTCTCTCTTTTTTTAATCTAAGTGGGAAGAACAGAATGAAAGCCCAGTTCTGCAGAGATACAGTGCTTAAGCATTTTTCATGTGTTGGGGGGTGAGGGGGGAGGTCATCCAAGTAATATTTGGAAAGTGAGAGTTTTTGGCCATGGCTTGGTAATAAATAGCTTTTTCCTTCATTTTTCAGAGTGGCAGAATAGGAGCAGATGAAGAAATTGATGACTTGAAAGGACGGTCTGCAGATGAAATAGAAGAAGTTCAGGCAGAAAAAGAAGCAAAAACTCGTGCCATTCTTCTGGAAATGGTGAACATCTCTCTGTATTTACCTTTTAGATGTTACTCCTCTGTGTGTGCATGTTATTCAGTCTAGTAGGATGTGTACTATTTATCTTGAAATTGCTCATTTGATGATGATGTCGTGGCTCAGAATCTGTGCTAGTAAATGTCTGTGGTACAGTGAAAAGGATTGAGCATGAGCACTGGAGATGGTTTTCTAGTAAAACCGATGATACTTCATTTTCAAAGCCAGGATTAAAAGTGGACCAGTGGAGACTTTATAAAAACTTGCTAGAAATGCATCCAATTAAAAAACATAACATACATAATATAAATCATAGAATCATTAAGGTTGGAAAAGACCTCTAAGGTCATCGAGTCCAACCGTCGACCCAACACCACCATG